TTAAGTCTTTTGGCTTCGATTGTGTCTATTATATCTACATCGATTTCCATTTCTCTCCGAATATCTTCGTTTCTCACCCTATCAAGTCTAGTGAGCTGGCAACATCGTCTCCAGTAGTTCATTTCCATGGCCTTAATTTTTGATTTGTTTCTTTGGTTTATTTCCCAGAGTTCGGCGCCATACAGTCCAATACTTTCTATTATTGTTTTATAAATTCTTCTTTTATTTTCTTTTGTTATTTTTTTATTCCATAATAGTCCGTGTAGCTGTCTGGTGGCTGATCTTGCTTGGCCAATCCTGGAATGTATTTCTTCGCTACTTCCTGCTTTTGATGTTATTTGGACTCCCAAGTACTTAAAATTGTCTGTTGGTTTTATAGTTCCCATTTTATTTGTAGGCTTTCTGGTTGTTCTCCTACAACTAAGTACTCAGTTTTTTGTATATTAATTGTGAGGCCCCATTTGGTGTACTCATTTTCCAGTTTTCTAAGCATGTAGCTTATATCACTCTCGTCTTCAGCTAGAAGAAGTTTCTTATGTTTAATAATTATTTCCCTAGTTACAACTAGTGGTTGTAATAGGTATAATTAGGCACCTCAAAGTGGCGCCCTATATTAAATTACTAAAGGTGTTTCCTGTTTCTTTTACTTTGTTTATCCCAATAGATTCATGACCTTTTTTCTTTTGTAATTGCCCCAATCCACCCCCCTTATCTTTTACTTATCCACGACTCCAGCTGTCCTAACAAACCCTGAGTGCCGTTCGCACAAGTAGCGTTTATTTTGCTTGCCCTATCTTTACTCTCATAATCTTACCCTGAGGTAGGCAAAAATATTTTCGTTACAAGTAGGTAAAGAAATAATAAAAAAGACTTACTCACAATCAATTTAATTTAACTATCAGACGACCGGTTTCGCTTTCTACAATATGCAAAGCATCCTCAGGTCTCGATAAAAAGTTAAACAAATGCTGAAATAATAAAAACCCATATTAGGGTGTTGTCTAATAACGATAAACAAAGTAGGTGTTGTAAATTACAATAATTATGCCAATATTACATGTCTGTGGTTTTATTTAAATGAGTAAGTTGAATAAAAGTTATAAAAGTTTAAACAGACAAGGTAAGGCCCACAAATTGTTATAAAATAGTCTCTTCGATTGTAATAAATTAATAAATGAGCAAATAAATAAATAAAATAAACATTACTTACATGCCGGTACTCTATTAATAGATGGATGGTAGAACATGGTTGAAACTACTTTATATTGTTGAATGGAGAACTCAATTCTCTCACTGCAGTTGTTTGACAGTAAACATTTTCGTTACAAATTAAGCCGCAAAAATAATTCTATACATCATAAATTTTTTTTTAATTTCATATTCACAATTAAAAAAATAATTGAATACAAGAATTTTGGTAAATTGGCATTATATTCCCAAAATAACCGCTTGTTCCAACATATAGTTGTTAGGGCTCGTACTGTAGCTGATTTACGGAGCCTTGCTTTCAATAAAGAAACGAAATTAGCAGGAAAGATTGGTTACCTGGGTTCAGAAAGTGCCATCCTGAGCTTGTGTTAGAAAAACGAATGTAACCAAATTTTTTGAGATTTTGGACGATGTTCAAAAAAATTACATGTATCCTCCTCATAGGGTTTACAGTGTTCATGAAACTGGATTTATGACTGCAAAATTAAAGTCTTCAAAGGTTTGTGCTCTAAAAGGACGGCGGTAAGTCGGATCTCTTATGTCTGCGGAGAGAGGTGTTCTCAGCACATTTGTAATTTCTATGTCAGCTGGGGGAGTTTTTATTCCTCCTTTTATCATCTTCCCTAGACAGCGGATGAAAGTGAAACTATGTACAAGACAACGCTCCACCTAGAACAGCGCTTTTGTTTATCATCCTTTAGGGTGGATGCAAACTGAGATTTTCACACAATGGTTTGACCGTTACTTGAAGTTTGCAGAGCCATTCGAAGACGACCCAGTTTTGCTCATACTTGATGGACATTCTACCCATACAAAAAATCTAGATTTCATTGAAAGGGCTAAAGAAAATCAAACAATTGTAGTTTGCTTTCCCCCTACTGTAGTCATAAGCTGGAGCCACTCGATGTTTCATTCATGGAGCCCTTGAAATACTTATTATATCCAAGCGATCAAAATATACTTGCGTATTAATCCTGGTATCTCCCTCCTCCTGACACAGTATCAGATATGTAGCCCGATAGGGTGTGTGTTTTAATTATATACATTTTATAAAGGATTTTTGAATAAACTTTTTGTGATACATGGTATACAGCCAGCTACAGGAACTTAGTTTCCTTGTGGAAATTAAATGTATTTCGAAAAGTAATTGATCAATTGCATCTTAGAAACTTTGGTATTGTCCCAGGTTAAATTATACTTAGTCTATTTTTCCTAAAATATCTCATTAGCTGTTCCAACTCCCTTTGATGATGATTGTACGGGATCATCATATGGGAGATATGCTGATCCGATAGTTATCTTCTTCATACTTTCTCCCTTTATGGCCTTTATCTTTACTGCCGTTAAATCCCTGAAACGAATTAATCGCTAGCAGTATTTTGATCTACCGTTTAACTATTATACAGCTCCTCATTTAGGTGTACAGCACGTGATTTGTCTTTAAAAAGACAAACACATGCAACGACAGTAAAATAATCCTGTTAGTGATCAATAGTAAATCTTGAGAAAAAAATCTCATGATACTAGCCAAACATGGTAAGTATATGGTCCTTATATTTGGGAAACATAAACATGAAGAAAAAAATATGGGATTGTATCAAAAAGCTGCGATTTATATGATTTAATTATCAGTGAAAACAAAAGATATGTAGATTTTTTATAAAATTTATAAGAAGCTCTGTTTCTGCCAGGGTTGGACAAAAAAATATTTTAAAAAAAACAAAAAACAGTTTTTTTTTGTTTTAAAAAACAATGTTTTTTGTTTTAAAACAGTTTTTTTTCATCTAAAAAAACACTGTTTTAAAACAAAAAAAAAAAACGTTTTAAATAATTACGTACTTCACTGGATTTCTAAAGGGGATTCCCATAAACCTCAACTGGCACACATATGGGATTCCGCGAAAACGCGACCTGCGCGCACATGCAACGAGTGTTGTAACTGTTTCGTTTCCTTATACCAGGTGATATTATGTAAACTGTGTTGCCAATGTCCGGATAATTATCCGATTTTCGGATAATTCGTGGACCATCGGATAATTTTCGGATTGAACAATTTTTTGGATAATTTCGGATAATTCATGGGTCTATCGACTTTTTATTTTTAATATAATTTAAATTTTTATAAGCTTAAATAGCTAAATTTGCGAATGTACATAGAACTCCAAATTCTATTCTTATATAATCAAGATGATGGAACCTATGAATTATTTCAGCGACCTCTGTTGATAAATAGTATAGTTTTGGTTGACTGTTTTACTGTACAAGTTTTTACTGTACAAAAATCCAGGGATCTTTGAAATTGACAAAACAAAAATTATTTCAATCCAAGTCTAAAAGGTCGAAGTAGTCATGTAATTCCCTGTGGCACTTTCTCTATACTTTTGCCGATTATGTATGTAAACAATAAGTATTTTTAATATAGGTTTAAAGAGTTAAATAATTTGTTAATTTGCTGTATTTATGTATTATTTGTTGTTTTTTATTTAAATAAATATTTTCTATCAAACTAAACTTGTTTTCTTGCCATCATTTGTCATATTAATTGTCATCTGTCAATGTGTCACTGTCAACTGTCAATGTCATTATTCCATTTAATTAGTCTTCTTTTTCGATTTTTATGAATTCGGATAATTTCGGATATTTGGTTTCTAACATTCGGATAATTTCGGATATTTTGCTCCCAACATTCGGATAATTTCTAGTTTTGCGTTGGCAACACTGTATGTAAATCAAATTCGCTTTTCAGTTTTTCAGGATATGTTGGAAGCTTTAAGTTCTGCTTTATTATAATATAATTACAGTGTAAATACAGTGTAAATTATATGAAGTTTATTATGTCAAGTCAAGGAAGGCGGAGAGATCCAATTTGGATAAATTTTAATTTGATTAAAGTGAATATCAATTTGAGGATGGGAGAGAAAGTAAAAAGACAGTCTCTAAAGCTGAGTGTAAAAAATGCAAGAGGCAATTGTCCATCTTGTAATTCAATAATTATTTACTTAATTTCTTAATTTTCTTTTTCTTTTAACTTTATTAGGAGTATTGGTTTAGTTAATGTTACTACAGCACTGTCTAACAGTACAATAGTATGGCTACCTGAACATAATAAAGTTTAGTCAGTTACTTTTTTTGAGTTTTACTTTTTACTTCGCATTAATATTGTTATTGCACCTACTTACTCTATAATCTATGTTTGCAATTTTGCAAATTAGCAAACACAAATGTCTTATAACAACAAATACACAAATGTCTTATAATAACAAATGTTAATAAGCAAAATAATAATAAACAATAACGAAAAAAACTATGTTTTAAAACAATGTTTTAAAACGCAACTGTTTTTTTTCAGTGTTTTTAAACATGTTTTAAAATGTTGTTTTAAAAAGCTTGTTTTAAAACAGCCCAACCCTGGTTTCTGCTTAGTGTCTCCGGACTAACACTTTTTTTTTTGGTAGGATACGCTGTAAAAAAATGCTATCTTAATACCATGGTAGACAATTCTGACACTATTCAAATGATGTTTAAACTTTACCAGAAATAAATGCAAATAATTTTTTTGTGAACAGATATAGAACAATTTTTTAGACATATCTCCTGATGCTTTCATTATGAGGGTACTATTTATTCTGACATGTACACATCAAATTAAATACAAAATTTCTTCTCTTAAACTTCCTTCTACCTACAAATAAACTGCAGTACAATAATAAATAGCTGTAATTTTTTAGTACTTTCAAGTACTTTCATTGAAACTTTAGACTGTTTAAATTTATTCTAAATAAAGAAAAATTTTAAAATGTAATTTTAATAAAACATTACTATACAGCTATATCTATTAACATTATTATACAGTTTAACCAGTTCTTAACATTTTGGCTTCTTTCTTTTCTTGTAATTCCTTCTTCTGTTGTTCTTCTATTAATTTTCTTTCTTTAAGAAATTCGCCATACTCAGTTGCATCTAAATTTCTTACAACTTCAATTCCACAGGATTTTGCTATTCCAACTATCATATTGCATATGTCTAAAAGAGGTCTTATTTCTAGATACGGATCAGACTGTTTGATTTTAGCTATTTCATATACTTGTTTTAGGGTTACCCTGCCAGCAATTTCTTTACCTAAAATATTAAAATTATTAATTAAATAAATATATCACACCCCAAGGAGAATTATAGTGTTGTTAGAGTTGTTACAAAAATTAAGTTGATTATAGTACCACTTTTTATTATTTATTGTCATCTTTATAAGTAAAATATTGTATTTACTCAATTTACATTGCATTCAACTGTATTAAACATAACACTAAAATTTACAGAGTAATATCAAATAAATTGAATGAAATTATAACACTAGCAGAAGAACAACAAGGTTTTAGGTCAGGAAGATCATGCACCGATGCTATATTTATAATGAGGCAAGTGCAAGAGAAATCATTAGAATATAATAAACCAGCATATCTATGTTTTGTGAACCTTAAGAACACATTTGATTGGGTCAAATTAAAGGATGTTATCCACTTATTGTACATAAGAGAGATACCTCTAGGAATAATTAAAACGATAGAAAATATCTACCAAAACAACACAATAAAAGTAACAGTAGAAGAAGAACTAACAGGCCCTATTGAAGCTGGCAATGGGATAAGATGGGGATATTCCCTGAGTCCTCTGTTGTTAAACCTGATTATGGATGAAATAGTAAGAACTAAAAAAGGATATCAAATGGAAGAAAAACAACTTAAAATATTCTGCTATGCAGACAACACAATACTACTCTATCAGAGTAAAGATGATTTACAATGTATGCTGCACCAATTTAATATAACTGCTAGAAAATTGAACATGTTAATTTCCTTAAAAAAGACAAAATTCATGGTTATAGCCACAAATTTACTAAGATGTAAATTGGAGGTAGAATGTTAGATAATAGAACAAGTCCATCCATCCAATGGCACTACAGCCCAAAATCGGCATTGACCTCCTTCAACAAGCTTCTCCAATCATTTCGATTTACCTCTGTTCTTTTCCATGAATGTGTTCCCAGGCAGTTCCTGGCATCCTCATCGACTTCGTCTTCCCATCTCTTTTTCCCTGCATTCTTGTATTTAGTAATTTTCTGGGGATTCTATTCTCATGCATACAGACCACGTGCCCTGCCCACCTTAATCTCAACAGTTTAGTGTATTGTGCTAGAGTTGGTTCGCAATATTGCTCATATATTTCTCTATTAGATATACCTAATTCACCAGTTGTTATATTTTTCTTTCAAATACATCTAATGCATTGGCAGATTTCTGTGTCACCACCCATGTTTCACAACCATAACTTACTATGGGCCTGATTATTGTTTTATAGATCCGTAGTTTTGTTTTCCGGTGTACATCTTATGATTTGAATATGTGGCTCATCGCGAAATAGGCTTTATTTGCCAGCACGAGCCTTCTATTTATTTCCGGTTCACATGTTCTATATCGTCAATAAAGTGTTGTTGCGACTGTCTATTTCAACTCGGTTTCAACTCAACGTAGGTTTCTTCCGCTGCGTTCATTGTTCTGCTCATTATGTTTGTATCATCTGCGTATGCTGCTAACTGGGTAGATTTGTTTGTAAGTATGTTATTTCCGCTCACTGTCAACCATCTAATTACATATTCAAGAACAAGATTAAAGAGCATTGGAGCCAGTCCGTCGTCTTGTTTCAGTCCTTGCGTTATCGTAAACGCATCAGTGACCTGTCCTTGAATACATACCTGTGCTTCTGTTTCTGTCATTGTCATTTGCACTAGTCGTATTAATTTTGATTTTATGCCAAATTCTTCCAATTTATTAGGTAGAATTGTTTTATCTATTGAATCATAGGTTTGTTTAAAATCTACAAAGAGATTGTAAACGTCCACGTCATATTCCCATACTTTGGCTAGTATTTGTTTAACTGTAAATAGTTGGTCAATGGTAGATCTATTTTGCCTAAACCCGATGATTTTTTCCGTGAGAGGTTGAAGTCTTTAATTAATTCTGGCACACCAGTTTGTCTCCTTTTTTATGAATGGGGCAGATTATACTTTTCTTCCATTGTTGGAGGATTTCTTCTTATTGGGATAATAGAACAAATGATGAAGTTTAAATATCTAAGCTTCACATTACCTAGGTACGGAAAGCTCAAAATGGAAGTGGAAGATTAAGTGAATAGAGCAAACAGTGCCGCAGGTTGCCTGAATGAAACAATATGGAGAAATAAAAATATCGGAAAAGAAATAAAAGGCTGAATTTACAAAACAGTCATCAGACCAATAATGACATTTGACAGAAACACAACCTACATAGAGAACAAAAAGGATGTTAGAAATAGCAGAGAATAAACACAAAAAAATAATAGTAAAAAACTATGGGATATAGCTAGAAGTACAGATATACAATGTATATGCAAGGTGGAGAACATCAAGGACTGGCTAAGAAATAGAAGAGTAGAATTGAATGATCATATAAGCTGAATGACATCAAATAGAGTAGTAAAAACTGCAAGAGGCGATTCCCCAATAAATGATGGAACAACAACTTAGTGGAGACACAGTGGAAAAACAGACAGGGTCATGTCTACATAAAAAGAAAATGAAGAAGAAGACTAAAACAAATTAAGGAACAGCTGAATTCAAAAGCAATGGAAAGTATGTAGTGATATTCTAGAATTGATTATAAGACAATTCAAATACAAATCTGAAGACTCAAAGCATTTTACCTATAAGAAAAATGTTTTAAATTAAATGATTAGTTCTTATTATCATACATAATCTCAATAAGAACTGAAACAATAACTGCCAGTACCTATTTATCTAATCAAGAGATTAATGTTGTTTATAAATATAATTTTTTAAGAGAATACAAAATATACTATTATTTGAGATCAAGAATAAGTCATCCTATCATCCATTACTTGGCACATTTTTTCTTCTTCTTAGGGTGCCTGTTCGTTCCAAATGTTGGCAATCATTCTGGCTATGATGACTTTCTATACGAAATAGCTGTTTTGTGGTATTTCTATACCATGCTCTCAGGTTAGCAAGCCAGGATATTCTTCTGTGTTCCACGGTCCTTTTTCCTACAATTTTACCTTGTAAAATGCATTGAAGTAGCTTGCATCTGCCTTGATTTCTCATTATATGTCCTAAGTACTGCAGCTTACTGCCCTTCACAATGTTGACCAAATCCGCAGTTGTGTTCATCCTCCGCTGTATTTCTTCATTGATGATTTTGCCTGCCATGGTATCTTCAAGATCCTTCTGTATGACCATAGCTTTTGATAGAGTTTCCGCCTTCAATGTCTGATACACACATTATTATATCTTTTCTGTTTTAAATCAAACATTGCCAAACTAATGAATTCATTCGATATTAAAAGATAGTGCATATAAAAATGTAATGTTGGGCAGAACCAAACAAGTTTTGAGTGGACAGTTTGCAAAGTTCTACATCCAAAGTTCTGCTTCAAAAAAATTCCACACAACCTAGTGCTTATTAAACCAAAATTAAACTAGGTACTTAAGTATCAAGTTTTATAAAAATTTGTAAAGTTTTTTATTATAAAATGATATCTCTGAATGTGCATAGAAGGGTCCTACGTTATGACACTATTGATTTAATTGTGTTATAGAAAAAAGTTAGTTTGATTTAAAAATCACAGAATTAAAAATTATTATAATAGGAATAAAAGTATGTCAAAGCATGAAAAGAGAATCAGGACATAATAACAAATATACATGATTAAATGTGTATTACACTTCTTGTGTGGAGATAAAAACCTTTAGAATATGAACAATACTATAATGAACACAAGTTCGGAATTTAAATAATATAAGTACATGTTATTACCTGGTTCCATAGCAGCTCTTTGAATACCTGCTGCCTGTTTTAAAAAATATACAATAGGGGGTTTATTAATTTGAAGTTCATAACTTCTATCTGGATTTACTGTTATTCTTGTAGGTAGTGGAATACCTTCTTTTATATCTTTGGTTTTCTCATTAAAATCTTTACAGAAAGCAGCAATGTTTATTCCTCTCTAAAAATTGTGAATGGTTTAAATATCATGTGTACTATAATATAAATATAACTAATATAAATACCTGTCCTAGCATTGGCCCTAATGGAGGTCCTGCAGTTGCCATTCCTGCTGGTATATTTGTACTAATTTTTCCATGCTGTATTTTCTCAGTTACTTTTTTGAGTGATTTTAATCTTGCAGCAGCTTTGGACATTTCAACTTTCTATTTAATGTTTTTGGGATTTTGAGAATTTAAAAAAGTCAGGTTATAGGTTATATATTTTTCTTCTTTTAAGCATATCTGCAGGTCTGCAGCCTCTGCAATTCCAGCTTAAGAGAAGAAGAAATTAGAATTGGTAGTTGCATAATTATTAGGTTCATGGCGATTTTCAAATATCACAGGACTGGCTTTAAGAGATTCTGTAGAAAACTCATCGAGCAAAAAGATAAAAGAGGGAATCTAATCGTTATGAAAAGGAGACCAAAAAAGTGGCCTCTGATGGCGGACATATCCGGAAATGCAAAGGCGCTAAATTTAAATTTTCCAACACTTATTAACAATAGCTATAAAATATTTTTCAGACGAGAAAGTTTTAATTAAATATTAACTATAATAGTCTAAAAAGTGACACAATTGGTAAAAGATTTCAATATAAATAAAATTTCATGTGACAGTTGGGACAAACAATAACATAACCTAACTAAATTTGACTTCTTAAACAAGGAAAGAGACTGTCTATCCTTGTCTAAAGTGGCCTCTCAAGATGGCACTTCCTGTCTATCAATATGTTTACCCCCACTACCTTTACATTCCCTCTTTTGTCTTATTGCTCGATGAGAAAACTTCAAGACAAAAATTCGATTATTGGGATCATTCAAATAATATGAAAAACAGTTGGAACGGCGTGGGAATGGCCACCAATAAGTAAAATAAGAAATGTACTAAACAAATTAAAATTTCGGTTTGATGACTCAGTGGGAACATAGACACTTCGAAGTGTGTAGGCTACGAATTTCATGGTTTAAGCCTGGTTCAAGACAAAATTATTATTTTAAACTGTTATTTAAAATCTAAATGAAGCTATGACTTTCACTTTGAAGTCAGAATTGTAATTAAAAAGCCGATGATAAATACCGATTTACTGATCCCCATCGGAAGACAAAGACGTTAGAAAAATCGATATTTAAGAGCAAATATTTTTAAAAACTCTGTATCTGCCCTAATGATGTTCTCTGAACAACGAGAGAAATAAAATTCAACTCAGCTAAGAGAAAAATATCAAATATTTCCATACACATGTAAAAGTAAACAAGTACCAAGTGAAAGTATTAATTTCCTGAATGAAAGAAGACTTTAACTAGAGTTTGACTAAAGGGTGTTCAAATTATAAGTATTTATATCTATCGACAAATTCTGTATAGGTACTTTTCAGAGATCAGGCAGCAGCCCTAGTTTAAAAGTTTTCAAGTGGAGAGTAGGTTAGTCCAAATGTACAGCTGAGATTTGTAGGTACCATTATTTTTAAGATACTGTTAGTTTTCCTATGAATTTAAGGATTAAGCAAAATAAACAAAGAAAGTGGTTTAATTTACCTTACTTTAACTAACTTTAACAAAAAAACTCACTAAATTACAAATATCATAAATTCTAATTTCATTAATAATTATTGCTTACAATTCTCACAGATATCATTTACAAAACACTTCGCTAATTACTACCAATCAAAGGCTGCCTTAACGGATTTTATAGTAAAACAACTGTTCTTGAAATAGATAGAATAGCTAGCGGAAGAACGGTGGCAAAATCCAGACAATAATACGAAATTACAGAAGGTTACCGATAAAAAGATGAATAAATCTTTTTAAATTACTCTACACGCCAGGCCCTCAATAAGGGTGACATATCGCTCACTTCTTCCAGGCTTTTAGCACCGTATGTACTATATGGCATTAGTTGCACCATATATACAAGGTTGTTTATCTTTTTAGCGACCAAATACGGCCCCTTATAGGTCCACTGCAATTTAGGACTCAGATCTTTCCTTTCTTTTGCTCTGTAGAGCAGCCATTACCTTCGTTAAAGCTAACGAAAGTGGATTTCTTATCGAACTTAACCTTCATCTGGCCAATGGTCAGCTGCAGGTTATTCTTGTCAAAATTTTGGACCTTAATCAGTCGATCGTTTAGGCTGCTGACATATTCGGAGGGTGTCTCTTGGTCCGTCTCTCCTACTGGTAGATTGCTATGTAGGAGGTCTATGGGAAGCTTCATCTCTCCATCAGTCATTGCATTGCTAGAGTGTAACCAGTTGCTTCATGTTGGGAGCTTCAGTAGGATAGCAGAAACAGAGGCAACAGTTTGTTCCAGTCTCTCTGGTTTTCATTTACAAACAGAGACAGATAGTTGTTGATGGTCCGGTTATGTTTTTCTACCATGCCGTCGGGCCGAGGATATAGCGATTTTGTCCTGGTCTTGTTAATTCCTAGCAACGTCATCATTACTCTACTAAACTTTAGATTCAAAGTTGCACCCCTGGTCAGAATAAAGTAGAAATGGAACCACATGTCGGGAAACGCCATTCCTTCTTGGTTACAAAGTGAAAGTACTTCTGGTCCCTTGGAAAAAAGTTCATAGCATCCATCAAATACTTATTTCCTGATGTTGTTACTGGAAATGGTCACAGAATGTCAACAGAAACTCATTTCAATAAAGTCCCACTGATTTGTTTGAGTTTCCCCCTAAGTCTCATTTTGTATTACTTCTTACGAACTATGCCGAGTCCTATTGATTCTAAAATGCCCCCCGAATCAGCTACCATGTAATTATGCAAGCACGTCCTTTACACATCTCCTTGGGAGAACAGCTTGAGGCACTGTTCTTGTTCCATACGAACTCTCTCATTTACGAGTGATGACGTCATCTCGAAGACACAATGATTAACACTGAAGTCAACAGCCCTTCATTGCATGCGCAAATTTGAAAATCTCCTGTCACTATAGCCTAGCTCCGTTGTTGTCACTCACGGACTATTTTTAGATCTGTATCTTGCTTCTGCTCAGCTTGGAGGTTTTCGACCTCGAATATTTTTCAACTGTAGAACCTGACCCTCTAGTTCTTCTTCGCGCTCACAGAATCAGCAGTTTCTATTTTTGCATGGTCCTCTCGAGAGGTCATCGACATTTCCATGACTTCTTTGTACTCGGTGATGAATTTCAAAATCATAGGTCTGCAGTTTCTCCAGCCATCGTGCTATCTGGCCTTCAGGTGTCTTGAAATTGAGAATACGTTGCAAGACATGATGTCAAAAATCTTCTTAGGAAAGCACCGCCCTGATGCCATCTTGAGAAGCATCCGTATTAAGCACAAAAATACAGCTTCCTCTCAGTCAGGTTATGGAGAGTTTTGCCAAGCTTTCCACAAATAGTTGATTGTTACTTCTTCCTCCACGGATTGTGTAGAGTTGGAAACATTTGTTCCTTTCGTTACAAAAAAATATCGGAAATTTATGATCAGGACTAAAAGGAGATCTTCTTCTTCAGGTTCCTTCTCCTATCGGAGCTTGGAAATCATAATCGCTATTTTAATTTTATTGGCTGTGCTTCTGAATAATTCTAATAAGCTGAAACCGAACCAGTCTCTCAAATTTCTTAGCCAGGATATTTTGCATCGTCCTGGAGTTCTCTTCCCTTGTATCTTCCCTTGCATAATTAACCTAAGTAATACGTACTTCTCGCCCCCCATTATATGACCCAGATATTGAATCTTTCTAATTTTAACAGTTTTTATGACTTCACATCCTTTCTTAATTCTTTGTAACGCCTCTATATTAGTTACTTTTTCAATTCACGATATTCTGTGGATTCTCCTGTAGCAGCACATCTCAAAGGAGTTTAATTTTTTGATTTCAGACTGTTTTATTGTAAACGCTTGATGCTGTATAGTAAAGTAGAAAAAACGTAACAACGTAGCATTCTTGTGCGGATCTCTAGATTAAAGTTACGGTTGCAAAGTAATTTCTTCAATTTTATGAACGTGTTTCTTGCTATTTCTATTCTAGATCTGATTTCTTTTATTTGATCTCCATCTTCGGTCAGCCACGTTCCTAAATATTTATATGTTGTTACTCTTTCGATCGTTGGAGATCATTGTAGCTTAATTCAGAGTTCTGACGGGTTCTAGAAAATAATTTCGACGTTTTATTGGAACTCTCATTTGTTTATTACATATAAAACCCGTGCGGTTTTAGTTTTAGGATTGGGATTTTAGGATCAGAGAAGAATTTGAACCAACCACTTGTTATTAGTGGCGATGATAATGATCATGTATTGTTAAACCATTTTGGCAATCTCTTTGCCCTTACCTTTATACGAGATCCGTTCTCTTTCTTACATTTCTGCATATATTTTTCTTGTTTCATACTTATATTAATCCTCTTCACAGATCTGTCCCATCTGTCTGTTACTAAATAGTCTCTGGCGGCCTTTCTCTGTTTGTTGTTTTACGAACTTGACACCCAGCTATTCTTTGTATAGGACAATAATCATTTTGACATTAAAGGTGTCCTAACCATCTTAATCCAATTCTACAATATGATGGACGATAAAAATGAAAAAAAAAAACGTTAAGTAGGTAAAGATGTTTTTATTACCTTTAATAAAATAAAAATCAACTACTTTACATTGTACCTAAAAATTGTATAGTGTCGTTAATAAAAGAAATAAGGTTGCTCTCTGGGATCTTACAACTTGTGTACTCTTTATTACAATTTACTCCATTTAAACCATTATTGATTGCTGAATAGATGGACGTGCTGTAAATTTTATCTAAAATCCAATCATTACTAGTTATTCCATCGATTATTTTGTCAATGCTGGTAGCATTTCCGTTTAGAATATCTATTTTAGATTTGTAGATCAAGGAACAAATGCTTCTTTGCACACACGCAGTCGTGTCTATGTGATTATCTAGCAAAACGTTATCTAGTATTGACCCATATTTCCAAATAGGTGATACATCCAAGTCTAGATCTGCAATTAAAAAAATTAAATTAATATTTAATATTAAAACTATCCATAAAAAATTTCAAAACTTCTAAGAAATGTGTTGGAAGTCCTGGTCTCAGTAATTAATGATTCCTTTGCAAAAGTATATTTCCAGAGTGCCTAAAGAAAGCTATTATTATTCCTCTTCACAGGATGGTGAAAAATCGTATGCCTTCAACTAAAGACCTATTGCATTACTATGTCCTCGAAAATATTGAAGAAGGAATAAAAATCAACGGAGAATACGTAAACAACTTAAGATACTCAGACGACACCGTCATTATTGCGGACACTGCTAAGGTTGTACAACGACTTTTGAATGTCATAACCAGAGAGGGAGATAACTTGGGACTAAATATAAACACAAATGAAACAAAAGTAATGGCTGTTACACGTGCACTAAATGTCGACATTGATATTCATATCTATAACAAACATATAGAACCAGTACAAAGATTCCAGTATCTTGGTTGCTGGATAACAAAGGATCTTGACCACGAGGTCGAAATACGTGCTCGTATAGAATATGCTAGGTCCGCATTTTAACGAATGAAAAAATTCCTAGTAAACTCTACGTTATCGTTGGATATCCGATACCAATTTGTAAAAACGTTTATTTATTCCATATTGCTATACGGAGTGGAAACGTGGACTGTCGGAATTACAAGTATGAGGTGTATAGAAGCATTTGAGATGTGGGTTTTTCGATGGATGCCAAAGATCTTTTGGACAGAGCACGTGACCAACAACGAGGTGCTAAGAAGAATGGGTACTGAGAGAGAATTCCTAAATATTGTAAAAAACAGAAAAACGAGTTATCTAGGACTTATTTACAGAGGAGAAAAATACAACTTCCTACGACTTATATGGAAGGTAAAGTGGAAGGAAGAAGAAGTCCAGGAAGAAAAAAATGCTCCTGGTTGAAGAATGTAAGGGACTGGAGAGGTGTAGACACACATTCAAAACTAAGAAAAACTCAAGATAGAGAGCAATTTGCTGTAGTTATAGCCAACCTTCAGTAATGGAGAAGGCACCGTAAGAAGAACTCCTGTTCTTCGTCTTAAGTCTTCATTTCTAATTCGGCCAAGAAGCGATATACTCAGGCAATACACATTGGTCAAATGTTTTAGGTTTTAAAGAAATTGGTATATCGCTTTTAAAGATGTAGATGGCAATGTAGAGAATTTGATGTTTCTCCATGCTTTTTCAGGATGCGACACAATATTAGTAGCTTCCAAAATCAGCAAACTTAAATTCATCAAACAGAAATTTTACAAAAATATCCTGAGTTAGCCAGCTAGTAATCTAGCTATCATTTCTCAGGAAAAAGCCGAGCCATCTTTGCTCACTGTCATTGGCTAACGTTTTTTGTAAACATAAAGATGATTCTCTAACAGAATGAGATACAAACGATTCGCCAACACAGTGGCCAAAATTACATATAACTAATCATCGCTTCCACCAACACAAGATGCAACACGTTTCTACAGTGTTAGAGTTTATCATCAGGAAACACTGCGGTCCTGAAGATTGAGTCTGGAAACAGCATGGAAAAATTTGGATAGTAATCAAAACTTTCCAAACTCCAGCAATCCCAAACTTCTGAAATTAATTTTCTGTCACTATCTAGGATTAGTCAATTTTCTCCATAGTAGTGTGAACGTGAACCGTATGACTTATATCTGGACAAAGATAATACTTTCATTACATTACCTGAAAATCACAAGACTTGTGAATAAGTTTTACATATTACAATATACCTGAAAGTACATTTTTTCTAAAAATAAGTTCGTACTTTTTCGATAACTACATCCTTATAGCTTTTTACTCACTCTAGAATGTAAAAGTAGAAATAAAATAGAAATATAAAGTGTAAAAGCATACAAATTAATATTATAAACTTTAGTATTTGTTGTATTACTACGTAAAATAAATAATTAGAAAATTATTCTGCATAGATAAATAATATAGTATGATTATTCTGCTTCAGTGCAATTATGACAGCTGTTTTATAATTTAGTAATTGTCAAATTAATGTCACTATAATATCATATCATTTTCTTATCTTAGCAAAAGAAGCAGATAAATGAAATTTTCGTGTTAAAATTATGGTAAATTTCCATTTGAAGCGAAAATGCCCGATCATAGATTATTTCTGCTTGAATTTTTAATAAATAAAATTGAAATTGATACAGATGTACTAACTCCACCTAAACTTGAGGACCTTTTGGTTCATTTTCGTTGTCCAGATTTTTTATTTCTCGATATTACTGCTGAGGAATTTCCTGCCGATCCACTAGATACTGGTAAGAAACTATATTAATAATAGCCGTCGTCGAATAATGAAAAGCAGTATAAGGAATGTAAACAATCCAGTGCTTGGCTTTAACCGATGTTTATTAAATATATTTGTTTTAATATTCCTCATTCCCTTGTTACTATTTTACTAAATTTCTCGGTGATTGATTAATAGAATTAATTTATTCTTTTGCGGTCTATCTTCGGTATTTAGTTTGACTTTTTTTGTTTGTTACCTTATTATCTATTATCACTTTTAATCTTATCCAATAACGTTTCAGTGTTTAAGCTCATAGTAAAATAAAGTACTGAAACAAAGGAAACTAAAAACAGTAGTTTAGGTGGCAATGAAAAATTTTGAATATGTTAAATGCTTAGTTAATAACTGTAAGTAATTCGAACAGGTTTTTCACGTTTTCTCCCTACATACAGGTGTATGTACGGAGTTAAGTCGAAGACCCTCACAGATGCTACCATAGTTTGCAAAATGCAAAATTGCCAGAATGGTCGCCAACAGCCGAAACGGATACGCACTACAAGAAGAAGATGGAGCTGAAAAGTAGACTAACTGGACGTTGGCCTTCTGTGTAGTCAAATTCTGAATACACGAGGGGCTCCATGCTTAGCAGAGGGGAACCTTTGAATTGACATGGGACCCCCAGCGGGATCACCGGAGATAAACTTGGTACTTAAATTTGGAATTAATCGTGAAATTAAAATTGGAATTACATACGTTTAGGATCAGTTTTAATGCCCCATATAATAAAATCAGAAATCAAAGAGGCCCTAAAGAAAATGAAAGATAATCGGACCTCAGGCGAAGATGGAATAGTATCAGAGGCATTAAAAATTGGAGGAGTTAATACTTGAAAAAATTATACTACGTTTCAGTATCTGCCTTCACAACGCCAATATTTCAACAGACTGGAACAACGCTACTATGATTCTATTACATAAAGCAGGAGACAAAGTTGTTTACGCAAATAATAGTTAAAATAACGGAAAGAAAATAATGTGGTAAGTGCCAAAATCATTATTTCGAAATAATCGATTTTTTTCTTCCACAATGAATTCATTGGAAATAATTTCTCAAAATTAAACATAGGTTTATTCAAGTGCATTATGTTTTTGTGCATTTAATAATTTTGCCAACTTTTTGTAAAATAATTATAAAAAAAATTAAACAGCTGTAAAATCTTAGAATGTGCTAAGTCCAATCACAAAATATAAAATATTGGGGTAAGTAATCATGAAAAATACAAAACATGTAGATTCTAAGAAGTATTGGGATTAAATAGGTCTTCATAATATTTTCTATTTACTTTCTTCAAATAGGGAACCATTGCCAACAAGTTTTGTTTTTTTTTCTTCAGAAATTTCACTCTGGCAGGTCAAGTTAGGACGAGTCATTTCTGCAATAGCTTTAATTTAATTTCTCTTTAAAACCTTTGTTGATTTCCAACTTTCTAATCCATTCCGAGTTTCTCGTGTTTTAACTAATCCCGAATTTTGTCGGTTAATGTTAATCTATTGAGTTTTTGAAATTTAAAGTTTGGATGTACTTATTGAACTTTCAGAAGATTGAACTTTAAAATCGAAGAAGTCCTCACGGTTCATTAATGAAACAAGAAATTGTGTTTTCCTTACATCTGTTGTCATCATTCTTACCAAATCCATAGGTACCTCACATTTCTCTTGCTTTTTTCGCTTTTTAATTTGGGCGAAATCCCTATCGCTATCCATAAATGAAATACCCCTTGAAAATTAAATAAATCCATAAAAACAATAACATTTTATTTTTATTTTGTCCGGCACAGTTGTTGCTCCAAATTGTTCCTTTTCGTTTCTGTGTTTGTATATTAATTAATGCTTTCAACACACACGACGCAATTTCATTTCCTATACGTCCTGTTATAGCCTCATGCCACAAAACATGAAGCCCGTGTTATTGTCCCCTAGGTGAACACAAAGGTTGTAGTTGGAAAGCTGTCACATATAATACATTTGACTATGAGTTATAGTTGGCAATGATAAGATCTGCTGTAGATCCATAGATACTGCCATGGTGTCACTCGTGGGTTGCTGACAATTCTGATGGTCTTTTCTCTTTGCTTCTACGGCTGCTTCAGCTTTTCGGTGGTAAAGTTCTAACTTAAATTAAGCATCTTTCTGTGTGGGATCTTTTGTTTGCTTTGCATCCGTTCTAGGCTTACCAAAGCTTATATTGGGAAAATTCTTTTTGAAAATTTGAAAGCAAAAACGATAGCTCACTGCTGAATCAGGATTAGTTTCCTTAAACGCCAAGTAAAGTCTCTTTATATTGAGATCGAAGATCAGATACTGTTTCTCGCTTTTTAAACGGTTGTAATGTCCCTGTCTCTGGGAAATTTTTTTATATACTCGATAACCAATGCTCTATCTTCCGGTATGAACTTTGTAAACTGTAGTTTATTATCTCTCCTTTCCTTATGAACTGAATCTCCTTTTTTTCAACTAAGTTAATGTTTCAATTTGTCTTGGGTTATTCCAAATACCGTGCAAAATGTCTTCCTACACACCTGTAAAATGTTGCCTTCTCCGTTGGGCAATGTGAAGGAAAGCGTAACCTGTCTCTTACTCTCTTCTGGTCTCTCATAATTTCCATGCCCTTCCTTTTGGTAGCACACACATGGATAAACTTCATAGCATACGTATTTTGCCGTACATTATCATTAAAACCATAAAATTCGCGAAAAAGCCTCAATTTTTGTTCATACTATATCTCTTTACACTTGAAGTTGCATTTGCATAATATCTAAAACAAAATTTCAGAATAACTACTGCCCAAAAATAAAAACAATATTCGACTAATCTTAATTTCAGGAGGCTGCTTGGCAGGGACGTTTTTATTATTTTTCTTTGCATAGTACTCTTATTTAGCATTTCTTTTTTTTCTGCCTTTCCTTTTGCTTATTGCACACAGAAAGAGATAAACAACAACAACTTTACTAATACAACATCAAAACAGTACTGAAACTGTCATATTTATTGGCACTTACTACATTTTTTACCGGCGACGTTGTGGCCATTGACAAACATGGACTCCGTTGAGAATTTTTTAAGTAGGTACGTAATGATAACCCGGCGACATTATTTTTATTTTATGTCTTCAAATATAAATTCCTAGTACATGAAATTATGACTAGCAAGGATACTCAGACCGATAAACTGAAGAGAAGAATCGGTCTTGGATAAACAATAAGATGGATTCGACCGTTATTTGATCGAAATTTATTTTATAAACTGAAGAGAAGAATCGGTCTTGGATAAACAATAAGATGGATTCGACCGTTATTTGATCGAAATTTATTTTATATAACAATAAAACACTGAAAACTTTGTTTTCAAAACTTCCACAAAATTTATTATAAAATCTTATCGCTACAGCTGTTTCGGCAGTGTGCCTTTCTCAAGTAATATATTTTTGGTATGCGTTTACACTTTATGGTCTTTAAGGAAATAGGTTAAGGAGTGAAGAAATTACTTTAACAAAAGCCTCGGCTACCAAACTCAAGTTAAACATAGAAGAATGGAACGATACATGTTAGTGTACACCTACATTGGAACCGTATTTCTCCCGATCCGATATCTGGCGACGTCGGATTAAAAACAAACTCAAGATATTAAATCAGAGTGCCTATACTGCTTCCATGACGAAGCAGTATAGGCACTATTATTTAATACCTTGAGTTTGTTTTCAATTCGACGTCGACCGACGTCGCCCGATATCGGATTGGGAGAAATACGGTTCCAATGTTGGTGTACAATTAGGAATAATTCTGATAAGAGGTCAGGAGAAGAATCAAGTTAACTGACATCATCGAAAGAATAGCCAAACTGAAATGGAGATGGGCAGGACACATAGCTAGAATGACGGGTGCTCGATGGACAAAGAGGTTATTGGAATGGAGACCAAGGGAAGACAAGAGAACTGTCAGTCGACCACCTACAAGATTTAAATGGGCTGACTATTTAAAAAGTAAAAATAATAACTGGATGAGAGTGGCGCAGGATAGATATGGTTGACAACACGAGGAAGAAGCCTATGTTCAGCAGTAGACTTTTGAGGTTGGTTGATGAAGATTAAAGAGGTAGAATACAATTTAGATAGTCAGATGACACAAATCAAAATGCCGTACTAAGATAAATGCAAATGACGCAAAATAAAGGACCCTGGAAAAATTAGATGGTCTATATCTAAAAATGGATGTTCTTGGCTTACATAGACACTTACATATATACTTTCCTCTATTGTCTTCTGTTTATATTGATCCACTTGTTTTTATACAATCAAAAATTAATACACAAATAAATATAAAAGATTTCTTGAGAATTAGATTATTATGATAGGGAATAGTTTAATTGTGTAGTGTTTAATTGTGAGTATGTACGAGTAGGAGATAGTAACGTGGTCAAGATTTGACCCATATTTACAAAGGATGCATTACAAAATGATTTATTTATTTTTCTCCTTGTTTGTTTTAATTTAAAGTATTATATAAAATATATATGTATGTATATATATATATATATATATATATATATATATATATATATTCAGGGATTCTACAGTATTTATGTCTCGCTCAACCGTTTCCATCTCTCTCTGTTGTCCCATTCTTCATCGTTTAGGCCTCTCTTACTCATGGCCTCGTCTACTTCGTTCCTCCAGGATCTTCGGGGTCGTCCTCTTTTCCTCCTTCCTATGGGGTTTCATTTGGTTATTCTCTTTATCCATCTGCTGTTGCTAGTTCTTCTTACAATGTCCATGCCACTTTAGTCTTTTTTGTTCTATATATGCTAGTATGTCTGTTTATATTGATGTTCATTGTTTTATTTCGTTATTACTTCTCCTATCCATTCTAGTTACTCTGCAGCATCTTCGCAGACATTCCATCTCTGTTACTACTATCTTACTGCTGTTTTCTAATTTATAATCTAATTTTTAGCCCCATATGTCATAATACTTCGCACTAATGTTTTAAAATCTGTGTTTTTGTCTTCATATTTAGGTGTCAATCCCACATAAATTGTGTTCTTGTTTGTTCTAATCTTTGTGTAATTTATTCCTCTTTTGTTGCCTTTTTCTTGATTATAAACCCCAAGTATTTTAATTTATCCTTTCCTTTGATTGTTACGTTGTCATCAATCTGTGGATCTTCTATGTCTTCTTTACTTGTAGATAGGTACTCTGTTTTCGCGTGATTAACATCTAGGCCAGCCTTGGTATATTCTTCTTGTGGTTTCTTCCTGATGAGGTCGTCTTGGTCTTGTGCAATTACTACTTGATCGTCTGCAAAGCTTAATGTATATAGGTATTCGTTCCGTACCGGTACTCCCATGCCTTCGCATTTTCTTTTCCATGTAGTCAAGGTATATTTTAAATAGGGTTGGAGATGTGGAACAACCCTGCAGGAGCCCTTTTGTTGTTCCTTGTTCCCACTTTAATGGACACTTTAGTTTCTTTCTACAGAGCTTTTGTAGCTTCTGTGAGTTCCGTTTGCTGACCTTGGTACAGAGTCATACACCTTTCTCAGGTCCACAAATGCCAAATGTATATCTCCATTTTTGCTTTTTTCTTTTCTAACAGTTGTTCCAGTGTGTATATGGGGTCTATGCATGATCTTTCTACCGTGAAGACTGCCTGATCCTTCCCGATTTTGCCTTTTATCGCTTGCTCTATCTTTTCTCGCAGTATCTTCCCATATATACTTCCTATTGATGATATTACGCTTATTTCTCTGTAGTTTTTGCATCGTTTTCTATCTCTTTTCTTAAATACAGATGTCATATATGCCTCCGTCCATTCATTTGGGAGTTGTTTTCCATTTATGGCCTTCTGAAATATAAATTGTATCATCCGGTGTAATTTTTTTGATCCGTAGTTTATAAGCTTAGGTAAGATGCCTTCAGGTCCCGGTGCTTTCTTATTTTTGATTACTTTTATGACCGTTCTCATTTCTCTATCTGTTATTTCTATTTCTTGTTGTGGGGATCTGCTTCGTCTTCGCCCGTTTTCTTTTTCAATGAACTGCGGCCTTTGTTCTGTTAACAGTTCGTTGTAATAGTCCTTCCATTCTTTATGCTGTATATTTCCCAATTTAATTTTTTCTTTTGAGTTTTGCTTCAACCCTCCCAGTTCTTTCCATGACTCCGAAGTTCTTGTACCTCCTATGTATGTTTTAATATTTAAGCAGGTTGTTTCTCATTCTTCATTCTTTTGTTGTGTTATTTGTTTTTTTACTTCTTTATCTTTATCTCTATATTCATTATAAACTTCATCGATGTTTGTACTCAGCCATTTTCTGTATAGTTGCTTTTTTTCTTCAATTATTCTCTTTGTTGGTTCATTTATTTCATAATGGTGCTGTTTATTTGTTATATATATAAATATAAATGTGCTAAATTCTATCAATTTTTGGTCTAGACGTTGTTGGTATTTCTCTTATTGATTGTTCTTGAAGTAGTTCTATTTTGTATTGTTCTTCTCTTATAGTGTACAACGGTTCTTCTGTAGAGGTGGTCTTGTTATGTTTCCAATTAATGCCCATTTTTGATGTCAGTAGTTTATGGTCCGTTCCACATTCTGCTCCTCTTCTTACTCGCACATCTTTAATCCTTATTGTGGTATCTTGTTTGATTATTATGATATATATTTAGATATATGTATATATATATACATATATATATATATATATATATATATATATATATATATATATATATATATATATATATATATATATATATATATATATATCGGAAAAAGGAGTACGACCGTCAAATTCCAATATATAAAAGGATCACTCAACAGAGTGGTGGGCTCTTATATCGGTCAATTTGTAGGTGGAGAAATGAAAGACAAAGTTGATGTGCCACTCTATCTATTTTGAAAACGTTTCGCTTTCGTATTCTGAAAGCATCATCAGTTCATTCTAAAAAGTATAATATAAGAACCACACAATCATGGAAAAGATGTTACAGGTGTTACCTTAAAAAGACATGTAGCAGTCAAAGATGTTAACAAGCTTATGAATTAAACTTGAATAAATGGACAATATAAAGTAGAAATGTATAAACATTTAATTTACTAACAACATTTAGTGACTTATTAAAAAATTTAGCACAGTGAGTGACCATGTGGTCAGAAGTATAAAAACCGCTCAATTATTTGAGGTGGTACCTCTGACCTTGCTGTTCTGTTGAAATAATTTCAACCTCAAGGTTGGCTGTCTTTTCGTGGTTCTGTGTCAGTCTGTTCAATCTAACGCCATTTTCCTGGTAGCAGGTGTAAGGCTTAGACCGGTAACTTCATTCTTTTACACTTATTTTTTTTTTTAATTATATTAACATCTTTTAATAATGCTACCAAAAGTTAAAATTAAAGTTTAATAATTATCTATTGTTGGAAGTTAATCGTTGATTTTCTTAGTTCTTTGCATCAATTACGTTATAATTTAATATATATTTTTTATACTTCTGACCACATGGTCACTCACTGTGCTAAATTTTTTAATAAGTCACTAAATGTTGTTAGTAAATTAAATGTTTATACATTTCTACTTTATATTGTCCATTTATTCAAGTTTAATTCATAAGCTTGTTAACATCTTTGACTGCTACATGTCTTTTTAAGGTAACACCTGTAACATCTTTTCCATGATTGTGTGGTTCTTATATTATACTTTTTAGAATGAACTGATGATGCTTTCAGAATACGAAAGCGAAACGTTTTCAAAATAGATAGAGTGGCACATCAACTTTGTCTTTCATTTCTCCACCTACAAATTGACCGATATAAGAGCCCACCACTCTGTTGAGTGATCCTTTTATATATATATATATATATATATATATATTTATATATATATATATATATATATATATATATATATATATATGTATATATATATATGTATATATATATACATATATATATATATATATATATATATATATATATATATATATATATATATATATATATATATATATATGAATTTCTCTAGCATATATCTAGGTCTTTAAAAATACATTTCTACTCTTATTTCTTAACCGTTTAACCTTTTAATTTACATACTTATGTAACGTGTATTATGTTCCAGATTTTGTGGCGAAAGATGGAGTGTATAAATTTAATTTTGGAAAAACGTATTTGTTTCCATACACTTCCGAAAAGCTTATGAACATTATAGAAAGTACTCCACTGGAAATAGATCTTAGAATATCTAGAAAAACAGTTGGTTCGGCTATTTTTCCATGGATTAAAGATTTCAGCGAAATGATCAATATTTTTGAAACTATTGGCGTTGTGAAAAGTGTAAATTATAGTGGAATATTTGATATGATATCTCTTCACCATAAACGAGTTGGAGAAATTGATGTCATAATTAAAATGTCATGTTTAGGAACTCACATGGAGACATATTTCTGTTTATTAAAAAAAGGCGGCCTATTTATGGGGGCCAGAAGCGATATACAATATAAATGTGAAAGGTATGTAGGAATATTTTTAAATTTATCTAAAAATTTAAATATGCATTTTATTACTTTATTTTGGTATTTAAAATAACTTAAAATTTTCATTTTGATAAATTAAAATGTGATTAAATTAATATTATTAAAACATCTGAATTTAACTAGGCAGGGTAAGAATTCCTAATTTCGACCACTTTTGGCCGGTATCTCAAAAGTCCAATTTGGGATACCGGCATCTTTAATTGGAACATTAGCGCCCCAAATTTAAAAAAAATATTTAAAACCCTAAAACCCATATGTAAACATGAGGAACGTGTTGAAAAATGTATATTAACATAACATTAACTAATATTCAACATTTTGTAACTGATAAATTTAACCTAAATGTAAAAAATCTGTATTGTCATGTAATATTATGAATCTTAATCTAAAGTTTTACAATTTGAACAATAAATCTTATAATATGAAATAAAATTTTACATTTAAGACATTTTATCATTTCTTTGACTGATTCAGACTCGCATATTTCACAATACCAGCTGTCAGATTTAGCTACATCTAATTTTTCTACCTTTTTTATATTACCTTCTTCAGAGGAGGATGATTTTTGTTGGGATTCATGGTTAGAGTTTGATCCACTGTCAAACATCATTAAAGCTGCTTCTTCTTCTTAACGTGCCCTCTCAAGTCCCCTTGACGTTGGCGATTAACATGGCGAAACTGTCTCTGTCTCGAGCTATTCTAAATAGTTGCTCAGCTTTCTTTATTCCTGTCCACTCCCTGATATTCTTCAACCAAGAGGCCTGCTTTCTACCAATTCCTCTGCGTCCTTCGATTTTACCCATCATAATAAGTTGAAGAATATTATATTGGTCTCCCCTTACTACGTGTCCAAAATAGGCCATCTTTCTACATTTGATGTTATCAAGTAGCTCGCGAGCAGCATTTGCTCTCTCAAGGACTGCCACATTTGTCAGCATAGCCGCCCATGGAATTTTTAGTATACGTCTGTGCAGCCACATTTCAAAGGCCTCCAGACGATTAATGGTGGATATTTTTAACGTCCATGCTTCGACACCGTATAAGAGGACTCACCAAATGTAGCATTTAACCATGCGCTTTCGAAGTTGAAGTTGCAAGATATCATTACAGAAGAATGACCTCATTTCTAAAAATGTCGTGCAAGCTATCTCGATTCTACATTTTATCTCTTGATCTGGATCTAGTTGTTCAGTAATATGGCAACCAAGATATTTAAAACTGGACACTCTTTGAATTATATGACCATCAACATAATATATTCGTGCATCTTGATGTGATAAACGGCTAAACACCATGTGTTTTGTTTTTGCACAGTTTATGTTTAGGCCAAACTCTCTTCCCACTGTATCAATGACATTTAAAAGGCATTGTAATCCATTCATGTCATCACTTAAAATAACTGTATCGTCTGCATATCTGATTGTATTTTTACAGTGTATTGTTAAAGCTGCAGTTTCTTTAAAAACATTTTTATCTATAGGCCAAATGCCACTAGCACCAAAAGCGTTCTGTGCTTTTCTCACTTTTACATCAAGCTCATCAGCCTCTTCAATTATTCCGGAAAAATGAAACATTATACAGTTCGACTGAAAAATCCAACATCCAACGGTTTAAGTCTGTTTGTGATGTGACTTGGTAACTGCAATAACCAAATTTCATTATACCTGGCAATTTGTAGAGCTTTTAGGTTTTTACTGTGAGTGCTGTGGCCACCAAAACAGTGGCCTCTGAGCTTGACTTAACTATTTCGACGAAATGATTAAGCCATGTCACAAAAAGATTGCTACTGATATAGCCATTATTGCTAATAATGACAATGCTGCAAGGCGAAGCACCTAACAAAAGTTCCTTTTAAAAACGTTTCCTCTTAAAAATTATCATAGACGGTAAAAATACCGTATCTATGCCACATACCTTGAAACGATAAATACTATCTTCTGCATGAACAAATGTTCCTTTTAAAAACGTTTCCTTTTAAAAATTATCATGGACGGTAAAAACATTGTTTCTATGCCACATATTTTGAAACGATAAATACTATCTTCTGCACGTCATCACGAAAGAAAGAGTAGAGGGAAGAAAAGGCTTGGACAGAAAGAAGAAATCTTGGCTGAGGAATATCACAGATTGGACTAACCTCAGAGTTGAACAAATATTTTATGTTGCAAAAGTTAAGAAAGCGTTTAAAGAAGTGATCACCAACCTTTGTTAGAAGACGGCACAATAAAAAGAAGCTACAAACTGCCCTGCTGGACTAGCACAACAAACCACAGTAGTATTTATCCCCATCTCTTCACTAAAAATGCTGAAAATTTGATGTTTTTCCTTCTTAGCTAATATTTTCTCACATTGCCGTTGTACGGTTACGTAGCTTGTCTCATCGACATTGAATATGCGTATGGCGGTAAATTTTTCCTCTTCACAATTTCTTTGTGAAAGTTCATAGAATTCATCAACTTGTGCTTTTCTAAATCCTGCAGCCCTTGCTATTGGTGTTTTCTCGGATTGCCTTAATGATATTTCTTTAAGTCTTGACATGAAGCCGTAATACTACTTCTTGCCTGCCATATGTTTATCTATGTTAAAATTATGTTTTAAATTGTTTCGTGTTGCCAATTCAAATGCCAGTTTGCTAATGTCTCGTGTACCCATCCCGAACATTTGCTCTTTGAAAATCAAAATATGCTTAGCCAAATTATGCTTTAACTTCTTAATTAAATACACGAAACCTGCCCATTTTTTTAATGAAATGTCTTTTTAGTGTAGCTTTTAGTACTTTAAACAACCTTGCACATTTATTAAGCACATAAGGACCCAACCCACTAGCATAACTGACGGTTAGATTGACGTTTACATAAAAAGAAAGATGTGTGGTATTTTTTCACTTTATTGCAAACTTACAATTGAGATACTATTAATATTATACTATTATACTCAATTGTACCTACTTACAATTGAGATAGACAACAGTTTTGACCTATATTATGACAGTCAGCAAATTTACTCTCTGGATTGAAATATGAACGATGAAATATGTGGCCCTCAGGGCTAGTTACAATAAATGATGTTATTTACTATAATATTTCTCGTGTTTTTTTATCTTTATCTATCTTTATCAGGTGGCTTTGGCAGAGCCAACTAGCCAGACTTGTTTGTGTTTATTGTTAAAATCGACTGAATTTTAATTATTATTGATTACAGATTCTAGTAGTCTTATATTTACTCTAATTCGCCATTTTTTTAGGCAAGTTTCGGTTTTATTTGTTTTTTTCTGTAAATTTTCTGATGTTATTGTGGGATTAAAGTCCATGGCCAGTATTGCGGTGTCGTCTGCAGAAGTCACTTCTATGTTACTGCATTATGGGAAGTCTGCAGTGAACATCAGGAATAAAATAGGTCCTAGTACGCTTGCGTGGAACACCTGCTTTGATTATGAGTGAAAAGAAAGGATACGGCATTTGTTTCTTTACCTTATAAAGTAGGTCTTCAAGCCAACCCTTATCGAAAACTTCACTAACGTCTAACTAACGTCTATGAAGGTGGCTGAGAGGTAGAGTTTACTTTCCAGCACGTAGGAGATTTTTTTTACTATTCTGTGGACTTGTTGATTCTGTTCGATTGTCTCCTGCTTTAACCTGAAGCCGAATTGGTGGTCCGGAATAAGTTTAGTTTTTTCTAAGATTGGAATCCATTTTATCAATAGTCATTTTTCATTAACTCGGAAAGTAGCCTGTTCTGATGATGGCGTTGGAAATGCGCTGCAGATATGGGTATTCTTTTGATACTTTTGTTTTTGATATTTGGTAACTTTGTTAGATCTTTGATAGCTCTGCTTAGTTTTGCTTTATCGCTTGTGCGTCTCGATATCTGCAATTTTTTTCGTAGCTGCCTTCTCTAGTATTTTATGTTTAACAATGGGGTCAATATTCCGGGTTAGTGTAGTCTGGTGTAGTCAATAGTCGGGGTTGCTGCCTACGCTGCTTTCTGTAAAGCTATTGTAAATTTTTTTTTTGCATCTTCTATATTTTGCGGCATTTTTAATAAAATTTACAGACTAACTTGTGCATCTAAGTGTTTCCTAAATTCTACCCAGTTTGTTTTATGATTATATGAAGTTGTTTACCTTGGTTTTTTAATAAAAAATGAAAATAATTTTTACTCCTTGGATCGCTAGGCCAATAGGTTGGTTGGTCAATACTGAAATATGTACTGGCCAACGTTTAAGTAGAATGGTAAAAATTGCGCAACGGTTATTTACTGAACAGACTTAAAATTTTAAGCCGTCGATGAGACAAGAAATATTAGAACTAATTAAGGAAAAACGAAGAAAACACAAAAATAAGAATGACGAAAGGCACAAAGAAATAAACAAAATCATTAGGAAAATGATCAAAGAAGCAAAATTATTATGGCTATAAGATCAATGCATAGAAATAGAATCACTAGAACAGATTGACACTTTTAACCTACATAAAAAAATCAAAAACTTAACGGGAGGAAATGGATCACGAAATCATAACTTAATACTAGACGAGCACAACAATCTGCTCTACGAAAATGAGAAAATACTTGAGAGATGGAGATAATACATAGAAGAATTATTCAAGAAAGAGCAAGAGACAGAAGTCAGTGTTTTTGGATGTTCAGGACCAGAAATAACGCTCAGTGAAGTAACATATGCAATAAAAAGACTAGAAACCAACAAAGCACCTGGACCTGACAACATACAACTGAAATATTGAAACTATTTGAAAACTACCAACTTAAACTCCTAACGAGTCTACTGAACAAAATCTATGAAACTGCAGAATTTCATATTTCATAAAATCCTTCTTTCTGTTATTTACTCTTGAATATATAGAAAACTTGAAGAAAACATTAGCAGCGTTCGGTTTGGGTTTAGAAGCGGACTAGGAATGCGAGAGGCCATATTTTCCATACAACTATTGATACAAAGAGCTCGAGACGCAAATTGC